ACATAGGAAAAGAATATTAAAATGACTTAATTGGGTGTGGCAGTGCATGCCAGTAGTGGTGGTGCATGCCAGTAGTCCTAGCTACTTGAGAGGCTGAGGCAGGAGGATCATTTGAGGCCAGGAGTTTGAGGCTATAGCATGCAATAATTGGGCCTGTGAATAGCCACTGTACTCCAACCTGGGCAACACAGTGAGACCCCTATCTCTTAAAAAATAAATGTCTTAACCAACATTCAGCTATTCATTCATTCATTCAACAAACATTTTTGAGTACTTGCTATGTAGCCATCACAGGCACTCAACCAGTGTTGGCAATTTGATGTCCAGAATTGCTTTCCTGTACTTTTTGCTATATGGATATCTGAAAGCAATTCTAGCAAGGATTACTACTTTTGTGGAATTCTGAGCTTCTAATAAAATCATACTATTTCCATGCTTTCTTTCTCTTTGTTTTTTAGGGCATGTATTGAAATTATACAGACCCTAGGACTGATGTTCAGAGAAACAGAAACTGAGTCATCACACCTAAACACATTGGCAGCTAAAAAGTAAGGTCTTTCAGGGGACGTTGGGACCTGGTAGTTGCAAGCCATTAACTATTCTTGTTGAGTGTTGTCCAAAACTCTAACTCTCTAACTTCTCTGTTCAACCCCCTCCTACGTACATTATGTGCTTTTGTTTCTCTACTTCCTTCTGTGATGAACAGATTAATTGGCACATGCTGAGTTCTCTCTGTCCCTCTGGGTTATTAAGGGTACAAGGATTTTCTTAGCATAATTTTGTTTTTGTCCTAGTGTGGTGAACTTGAAAAAGACCAAATGAGTCATCGTACATTAAAAGCCAAGGGGTCTCCACTAGAATTTCCCAGAGTATTTTTATATCCATACAATAGAAAAATTGTAAAGGCAGTAGTTATAGCAGCCTCATTTACTGTATAATTGTGTGACTTTGGAGTGAATGACTTTGTAGGGTTTATTAACATATAGGGTGAGCTGCTGTAATAAAGATACTCTAAAGTACATGGCCCAAAGAAAATAGAAATATGTATCTTCCTCACGTAGCAGTCCAGAGTAGACAGGCTTTCCTCCTCAAGGTCATCCAGGGACCCAGGTTCCTTCCCTTTTGTTACTCTGCCATCTTCTAGCCTGCTGTCTTTGTCCTCATGGTTGAAGCCAGCTGATCTTCATGACTTCATTATACCCTGTGGAAAGCAGAAAGAGAAGTAAAGGGCAAGCAAATTTCCTTTTCAAGTGAGGCATATAACACTTCTGCTCACATTCTTTTGGTGAGAACTTCAGGCACGTGGCCATACCTAGCTGCAAGAGAGGCTGGAAAATATGTCTGTAGTTGCACAGCCATGGGACTACCTAAACTTTGGATGGCAGTGAGGACAGACATCCGTTATTAAAAGGAAGAATGGAAAAACGGAAAAATAAATAAATAAATGAAATGGTCCCTGGGTAAAAAAAAAAAAGAATGGGAGAATATATAGTTAGAGACAATAGCATTCTTTGCCACACAAAGTATGTGTTTGCAGTTTTGCACATTATCTGCTTGAATTTTTAATATGTGTTTATAGACTATGAATTATGTTCTTGGACAATGTTCTGGCTAAAATCTTATTTTTTTCCCTACCCTAATGAATTGTTTATCTAAATTTGCTGTATTGGAAGGCGGAGGAAGGATAGGGCCATGGACTCTAAAATACTCAAACCACAAGGAAGAAATAAGAACAGTTAGTAATAGTTTTCCAGGCTATTTAAGACCTTTAAAAATAAACTTAATGATAATATTCATTAATATTTCTTAAGCAACTTATGTGCCAGGGATTATGGGCATACTATGCTTTATAGCAGGGGTGGGCAAACATTCCTGTAAAGGGTCAATAGTAAATACTTTTGGCTTTTCAGGCCATACAGTCTCTCTTGCAACTACTCAACTTTGCCACTGTAGCACAAAAGCAGCCATGGGCAGTACATAATGAATGGGCACAGCTGTGTTCCAATAAAGGTTTATTTATAAAACAAGCTGTGGGCTGGTTTTGGCCTAGAGGCCATATTTTGCTGACCCTTGCTTTACAACAAAAAAGAAAATACACTCTGTTATTTTCTCTGAATACTTCTCTATGCAATTGGTAGTACTGCCACTTCCCCAATCTCCAGGATGGAGATTCAAGATTATTTCTGATATTTCTGTCTTCTCCTACATTTAAATTATTGCTACATCTCTCTCTCTCTCTCTCTCTCTCTTTTCTTTTTTAGAGACAGGGTCTCGCTCTGAAGTGCAGTGGCTAGAGTGCAGTGGTATCATCATAGCTCACTGCAACCTCACACTCCTGGGCTTAAGTGATCCTCCTGCCTCAGCCTCCCAGGTAGCTGGGACTACAGGTGTGCACCACCACACCTGGCTAATTTTTCTATTTTTTGTAGAGACAGGAGTCTTGCTCTTGCTCAGGCTGGTCTTGAACTCCTGGCCTCAAGTGGTCCTCCCACCTTGGCCTCCCAAAGTGCTAGGATTACAGGCGTGAGCCACTACACCTGGCCTATTACTATATCTTGTTATCCTTGTTACCCTTTTTTTCCACCTTTTAGTCCCTACCTTTCTACATCCAAGTTGAAAAAAATCACCCTTACCTCTGTTGTAAAGTGTTGCTTTTAATTGTTTTGTTTTAGCTTGATGTGATCACATCAGCCCTACTGTATCAAGCCTTTTCTCTGATATGACTAATTCTTTTCATGTCCTTCAATACATATATTATATTGCTA